GTTAGGGCTTTGGGTTTAGGATTTAGGGTTTAGGATTTAGGGTTTAGGGTTTAGGGTTTAGGGTTTTAAGGAGGGAGACCCCTTAAAGGGGACCCCTCTGAACCCTACTTCTGGCTCTCTCAAAAGGGAGCCTATTGAGAGAGGGTCCCCGTAATCCTAACTCCCAGGGTTAGGGCTGAGTGAAGAGTTTGGTTTTGGGTGCAGCGATTTGGGTTTAGGGTTTAGGGTTTAGGGTGTTCTGAAGAGTTAGGTTTTTCGGTTCGGGAACGCGGGCTAGGCTTTGGGGTTCAGGTTCAAGCGGTCTGGGGTTCAGGGCCCGCAATTCAGGGTCCAGGATACCAGACGGTATGTGAACTGGTTATGTTGCCGGAGTTGCATTCGGCAGTTGCTTTGGCATAGTATCAGTGGACAGGCCAGGTAAAGGGAGTCAGGCCACAAGAACGGATGTCCCGGCCTGATAGCACCTTGAAACAGAACCCTATAAACGCTAAACCCTAACTCCACACCGTACTGTCCGAGACTTCTTTGTGCCGGGACCATGCGGAGCTCCAGCGAGCTACGGTCTCTGCCACCCGCCGAAAGCTTCGGGATTTCTGGGTCCCTCATGCCTTGAGAGTTCCGTGGCCATTTCGGTCGGTTGTTATCTAGAATTATGACTATAGTCTATAGTGACTTATAGCACTATTGTATCTACTACTGTTAGTGCAACTGCGGGTGCAACTGCCGCCGCCACCGTCGCTGCGGCTGCCGCGTCTTCTCCTGCAGTTGCTGCTCCCACTGAGGCTGCTACTGCCTCATGGCGACGCGACTGCTACCGGCGACTGCGACTGCTGCCACTACTGCTGCTGCTGATGCCGCTACAGCAAACCGCTACTGCAGCGGCTGCTGCCGCTTGTTCCTTCTCTTCTGATGCCTTGCTTACCAAAAACTACAATACCAACTACAACTACGAGGACGACGACGACGACTAGAAAGACAACTACTATCATGGGGAGTTAGTTTTAGGGTCAGCATGTCGCTTAGTCCCACTGCTGGGGCAGCATGCTGGTTCAGTTCTTAGATACGTAGCCTAACCCCACGTCAGGCCTTATGTTTGAAACTTGGTCTGAAATTAGCAGTTTTCAGGAACGGCGCGCTCCAAAAGCTGCTGGTCGCGGCGCTGTCGCCACTGGGAGCTGCTGCCGACGTTCTGCCGGCTGTGGCAGTGCTTCCAGATCGCAATGGGTGACCCGTACGGGTATTGTCCCAAACCGAAGCCCTGAGCCCTAGCACTGGAAACCCTGAAGCGTAAGACTGAGCCGGGCCGGAGTATCGCAGGACCTGCACGGCCAGAGATCCCACAGGGCTTTCCCTGCAAGTCTGAATCTAGGGGCCGGAAGAGTAGGTAGTTGAATGGCCGTCCCTTCGCTAGCTATTGAGTAGCTGAGTAGCTATATAGTTACGTTCTATATGCTGTACCTCACCTCAAAGCCCTATTCTAGCCGTTAAAGCCCTACTTTAGTTTTCTACGGCAAATGTGCTTCAGACATCTTCATGCCCGCATCTGCCAAGGCTTTCCGACATGCCAGTCGCGGATGCCGGGGCGAATTTCATTAGAATCGTCCCTAAACCTTAAACCCCAAAAAACCACCAAAAACCCCAAAACCCCAAAACCCCAAAACCCTAAACCCTGAACCCCTAAACCCCTAAACCCTTAAACCCAAACCCTAAACCCCTAAACCCCGAACCCTAAAGTGTTCAGTGCCTGAGGCTTCAAAGTCTTGAGGGCCTTTTGGAAATTGCTAGGGCCCAAAGCTCTGAGACCCCTAGACCCCTTACTTCTAGATGTGGGAGTTTCAGGTTTCGGGGTTTAGGGTTTAGGGGTTCGGGGGTTTAGGGGTTTAGGGTTTAGGGCTTAGGGCTTAGGGTTTAGGCCATGAGGGGCCCTAGAACAGAAGGCGAAATCATGAAATGAGAGCTTCGGACGCAAGCCACCCCAGCATGATCTTGAGCACCCTAAACCCTAAACCCCACACCACAAACCCTAAAACCTAAACCGGCGCAAACCCTAAACCCTCTCTTGAAGGGCCCTTAAATCTCGTCTAAACCCTGAGACCTAAACCATGAAGCCTAAACCCTAAACCCTAAACCCTGAGACCTAAACCATGAAGCCTAAGCCCCAAGGCCTATACCCTATCCCAAAGGGGTTTCCCAGGGCTTGGGGGGATTTTGGGGGTCTGTTGATATGGGTAGTTGTCAAAATTATGGTTCCTTTTGGGGTACCCTAAATAAATAGGTGCCGTATTACCTAAACCCTAAACCCTAAACCCTAAACCCTAAACCCTAAACTGTCTTTTGACAACCACCCATATGTTCGCTTGCGGTTTCGGACTCGGACCTTTGGCCTTCAGACTTTCTGCGAAGATTTCCTCTTCAGTTGGGCTTAGTTTAATATTTAATTGAGTTAGGTTTATGGCTTTAGGGTTTAGGGTTTAGGGTTAGTTCAGTATTTAAGGAGTTAGGTTTATGTCTTTAGGGTTTAGGGTTTAGGGTTAGTTCAAGATTTAAGGAGTTTGGTTTATGGTTTTAGGGTTTGTTCCGGGTTCGTATTTTCATGGCTTGAGCTTGTCGGTTTTGCGTTAGGTTGGTTCTCCCTAAACCCTAAACCCTAAACCCTAAACCCTGAGACCTAAACCATGAAGCCTAAGCCCCAAGGCCTATACCCTATCCCAACGGGGGCTTGGGGGATTTTGGGGTCTGTTGATATGGGTAGTTGTCAAAATTATGGTCCCTTTTGGGGTACCCTAAATAATAGGTGCCGTATTACAATAAGGACCCAAACAGGGACCATAATTTTGACGACCGGGGGGTCTGTTGATATCTAGGTAGGCCTTTGGGACATTTTATATTCTCCCTTATTGGGCTTAAGAGGGTCTTATTTACGAATATTTTTCAGAGGCTTTGAGGGGCCAACCACCCATATGTTCGCTTGCGGTTTCGGACTCGGACCTTTGACCTTCAGACTTTCTGCGAAGATGTCCTCTTCAGTGGGGCTAAGTTTAATATTTAATTGAGTTAGGTTTATGGCTTTAGGGTTTAGGGTTTAGGGTTAGTTCAATATTTAAGGAGTTAGGTTTATGGCTTTAGGGTTTGTTCCGGGTTAGTTCAATATTTAAGGAGTTAGGTTTATGGCTTTAGGGTTTGTTCCGGGATCGTACTTTCATGGCTTGAGCGTGTCGGTTTTGCGTTAGGTTGGTTTGAAATCGCAACCAACCCCCCTCGCCTCTCCCTCAACCCTAAACCCTACACGGCAAAGTAGACCGAGGGTTTGCCAAGGAAGCGAGCGAGAATGACATTTCTCTGAGTAAGCTGACGTTCTTCGCGAACAGGGGCTTCGTGTTTCAAGAGCTGTGCCTCGGCGACTGCTTGAGTTCAGATCTTTCGTGTGGGCTTTTGGATGGTGGGGCTCTTGGTCTTTGGGGTTTGGGGGATCTTGGAATAGTGCTTAGTGCTCAGTGTTTATGACGGTTCAAGCCATGGAGACCTTTGGCGAGGATGCTAAAACCTTGAAATTTCAAGCATGAACGATGCTGTTTACAAAGGCAAGAATCCGTATGTTTGAAGCCCGAAGACCTTGCGCCTTGCCTTAGCTTCCTTTTAAGCCAACTACACTCATGCCCTAAGGCGTTAAGTATTGAGTATGCAATGTCACCAGAATCTAAAGTAATGTTTCTTACAACAACAGACCAACAGACACATGCATTAGCATTACTAGCATCAAAAGGTCTTAGAAGTGAAGTACCAAATGTAGCAGCCCTAAATCCACAGAGAAGCATCATGTGCCTTGCTCTTACAGCCCGGCAGCCCCACAAACCCAAACGAGCACGCCTGGAACCTGCATAAAAGCAACTATGCACCCCTGAGCGTCGACGCACATGACGTCAAAAGTGCATACTTTACAAGCCTCCCGTGGTAGTGGTTGAAGCATCTTCTTCTCAGAACGAAAAACCCGACACCCAAAATACAAACCTATCATGACATCGTTGCTTTCTGTGCATCGCCTGATGCCCTTTTCGGTAACGCAAGGCTCGGTGAACGTGGCTGCGGGTTCTCCTGCGGATGCGTGCAGCACCTTGACAAGGGCTAATTTTCACTATAAAAGCTTGAACAAGTAGTTAACGGTGGGTATTCTCCCCCCTTTCGTGCCCTAGCATAAATATAGTACAGCATACCCGCAAACCCTATGCTAAGTATATCTAACCGCTGAGGTCCTTCAAACTGTTGTGAATGAAGCGTTTTAGGGTTTGGGCCTCGACGCCCTAAGCACTACAGGGCCCGAAATCTCGAAGCCCCCACGTGGCTGTGTCGAGGCCGAACTAAAGGCAACTGTTTTCCGCTATGAAAGTGTACAGTATACTGTAACGGTGATACATGTGGCTAGCCCGAAGTCTAAAACCCGAGACCCTAAACCGCGCAAGCAAACGATCCCAACACCCTTAACCCGAAACTCCAACGCCCAAGCAACAGCTTCTAAACTGTTTTCGGGTAGTTCTCTGAATTCGGATCCCTTTTTGGGTCCCAAAAATAGAACGGCACCCTTGTAAAAAGGACCCTCATAAAAGGGACCCTACTACCCATTCACCGAACCCGGGATCCGACGACGTTTTGTTTTGACTTAGGGGTTTAGGGTTTAGGGTTTAGGGTTTAGGCACAGCATTACGGTTCAGGGTCGGGGTTTTACTGGCTCCAGCGTATTTCAAGTTACCAAAATGAAAGGTGCTACTATGTACTATATAGATCTCGATTGAACTAACTTAGCAAAACTTCCTCAGCAAGGGGTTGCTCAAAAATTCGATTTAGGCCTGAAGGTGTCTTCAGTCTTAAGGTTGTAGGGTTTGGGTCTTAGGGTTTAGGATTTGGGATGTAGGGCTTAGCGGGTTTTAGTTTCTATAGGGGCCTTAAAAAACTATCATGATATTTTGTCGTGTCTTCTATCTGGCTAGCATTCGTGAATCTGAGCCATGCCGCGTGCGGATAGGCAGGCGCAGGCAGCTGCTCACAGGTTGGGGAAAGACCTGGCCGCACTGAAGCAGGAGAGTTGGTTTGCTTCGACAGGAGAAGCTCAAGAGGCTTTTCGATCTGTCCTTGACGAGTGTTATCGAGATGACCGCATATATCATGTCCTGTATTTCTCGCTCCCGATTTCGCAGCTCCAAATTTTGGCCGGCTGGAAGTACTTGTGCGCACCACAGGCACTGCCGCCTGGTCCGGTGGAAGAGCGTCCGGACATCGGGAACATCCCAGCAGTCTACCGCGCCTTTCAGAAGCAGAGTCAGTGTCTCAAGGTCGTATTTCGACAATGCTCAAAACAGCTGTTTCCACGAGAAGTCCCCCTAAACCCTAAACCTTAAACCCTAAACTTTAAACCTTAAACCCATTATCAGACGTAAGCCCTAAACCTTAAACCCTAAACCCAAAACCCTAAACCTTAAACCCTGAACCCTAAACTTTAAACCTTAAACCCGTTATCAACCCTGAGCTCTAAACCTTAAACCCTAAACCTTAAACCCTAAACCCTAAACCCAAACCCGAAACCTTTCAAAATTAAGCCCTAAACCTTAAGCCCTTCAAACCTTAGACCCTGAACCCTAAACTCTTGAACCCTAA